TGATATCACATGAAAAAGTGAAAAAAAAGTACCTGCTAAATTATCTTTGAACCTTGGATGAATAAAATGAAATGAAAATTTGGAATTTATAAATGAAATATATATGTGAAAGTAAACATTTGGTGGGGTACAGATGGAATATGTAAAACAAATCTATATTTCTTAGATGTGATTGTGGACTAAAACAAATGTGCTGGAAGCACCATATCAAACATGCCCAAACTAGATTATCTAGAATCATCTTAGTAAAGCAAATCATTCACTGAACTATAAAGCATTACACATTTTTACTGTACACTGATTTTACCTTACCTGAGCCATTGTGTTGAAGTATGGGGTAACACCTACAGCACAACACTAAACCACTATTCGCGGTAAGGGTTACAATCATGATAATGCTAACCCATTATTCATTTATTCTTTGTTTTCTGCTTGCTTAAATTATTTGATCTGGCAGAGCTTCATACCTCACAATTGATCTATAAAATTGGAGATAAACAACTACAGACAGCATACAAAAACGTTTTGCTGTAGGAGAGGGAGGGGATAGTTATAGAGTTAATCTAAATGTAAAAATCTTACATGCTCAAACAGCTAAAGCATGTGCAACAGTAGATATTCAACTTCCCAGAGTTGTGCCTGTTAGATATGAGGCCCCTCTAACCTCCATAGGAATGTTGCAGGGTTATGCAAAAAAGTAAGTCTCCCTTTTTCAAACATCAACCTTTGCCAGTTTCTCTGTTTACAAAGGGAGCAGTTTTCCTCCACCCACTGCCGAATTTTCAATAAAACTCCCATCCGACTCATCCTGAAATTACAAAGAGGACTCATGAATGCACTTTCTGGATGTGCAGTTTATCTAAAATTAGTTTTTAGCTGAAATAATTCTGTCAAAGTTACGTAAATAATTGAGAAAATACCTAACTTCAGTAATGCTCAGACTATTTGAGGGCATCAGGAAAGCATTCCTCTCTGTTCTTTTCCTTGGGACCAGTATAATCTTGCTTGGAGGTGTTGGATGCTTTTGTGAATTAGATGGCAAAGTGGATACAGAGGAGAACGGTCAACCCAGACCCCCTCACCTTATCTTCATCATGGTGGACGACCAAGGTTATGGAGACATTGGGTATCACGGCTCAGACATCCACACTCCTGCGCTGGACCGGCTTGCAGCAGAAGGTGTCAAATTGGAAAACTATTATGTCCAGCCTATCTGCTCACCCTCTCGTAGTCAGCTCATGACAGGACGGTGAGGCAGAAGTTCTTATCTTCTAATTAAGTTTATTTTCCTATAAAAATTATTTTTAACAGTTTACACCATGCACAAACAATCGTCTTGTGCAACTGATTTCCTGTTTTGTTTCTTAAATGAATTCAAAGTTATGAATTCAAATTGCACTGTGAGACTATTTGTTTGCGT